AGAGAGAGAGAGAGAGAGAGAGAGAGAGAGAGAGAGAGAGAAGAAAAGCTCTACCTGAGCTGACCTCCATCGCCTACGCCCCAATCCGTCGCCTTTGCTCTCCCCGATCGGATCCCACAAGCTTCCCTAGCCTGAGCCGTTCCCAACTTCATATACCCGAATCCCTCCTCCGATCTCCTCTCTTCTGCGAGCCATTTGATTCTTGCCGCAAGCCCCAGCCAAATCAAACCCCAGCCGAGCCCTTCTCCAATCTGCACTTAACCGCCCAAATCAAGAGAGGTTACCCCACTATCTCCTTCACTCTCTAATTTTCTTTTTTGTATCTTTGTTATTCTTATTAGTGTTAATATTAATATTAATATTAATATTATATTATTACTTATAATAATATTACTATTATTAATATCATTATGATATTATTAATAGTAATATATAATAATGAGTAGTAATATACTATAATATTAGTATTATAATAATATCATATAATTATTATTATTTTAAAAAAATTTATTTTTTTCTCATGGTTTAACGGGCTGGCAAACTATGTGTTTGTAGGTAGGGAAACGGTGCGGCGCTTGCGGACGGGAATATAATTATAATATATATATAAGTACCCCCGAACGCTCACGTAGTACAGAGGGGGAAAAATTGTACTTTTTTTTAACTTGTGCTCCAAACCCTTAAACACTCATGTAACGGGCAGGGATTTTAATAAAAATTTGCAACCGCGGTGTCATTTGACACCTACCTGAAGCGCTCACGTAGCGTCGAGGGGAAGGTTGCATCTTAGTTTTTCCCTTAAATGGAGGAGACACCGGGAGGCTGCAAGAATTTCATTTGAAAATATTGAGGACTTGAACAAAAAAAAAAATGAACTTAAATTAAGTGAGCATGGACTTGGGCTTGATTGACTTGGACTTAATTGAACTCAAATGAAAATTTGGGACTTGTGGACTTGATGTAATTGATTTAAATAAATTCAAATTTAAATGAATATGAACTCATGAATCATAATTTGGGGCTTGAATCAATTGTGAACTCAACTTGAACTTGATTGAATAACTTAAGTGAACCCAAACTTAAGATGAATCATGACTAGAACAATTTGGATGTGAAATTGAACTTGCAAGGACAACACGGGACTCGAACAGAAGAGGCTCATTTTGAGCCTGAACTTTATGGAGGATTTCATTTGGACTTGAACTTGATCGGAACATGACATGAACTTGAGCTTAATTAAATATGTAATGATTTGAATCATATGAACTTGAATATGAATCTAAATTGGATTGAATTATGATTGAGGTAAATAATTTCTTGAAGGGATAATTCCCTAATGGAATCTTCACTTTGGTTTGAATGCAAATCCAAACTAAGAAAGATTTGAGTCATTCAAATCTCTTGTAAGCAAACAAGGACCCATGTGTAAATCCTTTCCAAACTTTGATATAGAACTTTTGAATGATAATTTCTGATATGCAAAGATCATCTTAATTGGGATAAAGATGTTGATAAGTGATGATATTAGACTTATCATGCATATTGAATCATTAAAGTAAGAAATTTGCAAATGAAGTTCGTTCGTAAGCAATAAAAAGAAGGGTGAGGAACTTGATTTGATTATAAACTCGTAATATGAGCTTTTGGACCATTCCGATTGATTCATAATATCGGAGCTAGTTCGCCCCTAATCTATCTGCAATGAATGTATTGATTCATTAGAAAGGCTCTTAATGAATATGATGATTCGTGATTTGGCTGTAACCAATACCAAAGTATTTGTTAATTCACCTACGATTATGCAAAAGGGATGTAACATGTTAGTGAGCAATATTAGAAGAGCTATAATGAATAGAAACATTTATGATGCTCAAGAATTCAATCATCATTTGATTTGCAAGCAACCATCAACAATGATTAAGGACATATGATCTACCCACAAGCAAAGATCAATTAGAGAATGCAACCATGTTTTACAATAAACATCAAGACATAAACAAATGCATTCAAACCTTCAAGCAATGAATATTGAAATTGACGGTAGTCTTCGTGTCAACTCCACAAGAAAACATAGTAGTCCTTCCAAACAATGAAGTCTTTTACTAACATATAAATGAACTCAAGGGATATGCAATGAATACAATGATATCCCACCAATCAATACTTGTAGACTTGCAGATACATGTAGCAACCAATATGCAAGCGGATAAAACAACCTATCAATCAATGTGCATGAAGAGGTTGGTGGAAAATGCAAACTCCTATGAATCACTGTAGGAGACTTGTTACATACACAAAGTTCCATCTACGAGCAAATACAAAAAGAGAGCTGCAATATATATGAGCTCTTATGGGCTACTGTAGAAGACTTCTATACATTCAATGTACCACTCACATGCAAAATATAAATATTGCAAAATACCCCCACACATACACTGTAGCTTATATACACATAGGTACACAAAAAGGGGTAAAAGCAATCATAAAATCCGCATGGTCCCCGGCGAGCGTGTTATTGATATACACGTAATATTGATATACACGTAATGTCTAGGGATGTTGCGCGGGTCAATAAAATCGAACCCGATCCTCCTAAACATGTAGGTATGAGTCGACAAGATTCATCAAATGATTACAAAATGCCCCCAAACACCCGCATAGGCCCCGGAGAGCGTGTTATGGGTACACACGTGATGTCTAGGGATGCTACGCCGGATAATGAGTGAATTCAATATTCGAACACGGTCCTTCTATACGGATCAATAGGAGTCGACAGGGTTCGAACCATCAAATAAATATACGGTTGTGACGACCGATATATTTATTTTAATACATTCATATTAGGCTTTCAAGGTCTATAATTAAGATAATTCACTCACAAGGGCATAAAGCCTACGAAACCTGATCCCTTATCATCAAGTTAACAGGGTCGACAGGGTTCAATCAATAAAGAGAAGTAACCCCTAGCACCCCGATGACGGCCGCGTTGAATGTAGATCTCAACCGGGGGGGTTAACTCCAAAGATTTCAAATTCCACCCAAATCCCCAAGTACATTCAAATTCCATCCCAAATACCCGCAAAGTATAAAATCCAACAATTCCAAAATCCAACAATTCCAAAATTTAAGAAATTCCAAAATCCAAAAATATTTAAGAATCAAAATTCAAACCAGTAAACACTTAAAGCAAAAATTCATCCACCCTCCACAACAGTTTACCTGGGTGAACAAATTAAAATTTACTTCAGCTCACAAAGAGTCAAATGCCTAGTTTAAAATATCACTAGGATTCATTCTCAAATGATCTTCTGCCAATAAGGACGTGGTACGTGTCTTCTGACCGGCGGTTATGACATGGGGCCCTCTGAACCAAGTGGTTTACCACCAAATGGCACCACAAAATACCGGTTATGGCCAATGTCAATACGTTCCTTAGTGGCATCAAATCCTTGAGATATGAATCAATAGGATATAATCGATAGGGTACAAAGCCCTCTGTTAGCTGAAGTGAATTCAAATTTGTCCGCTTAGATAACATTCAACCCAGGTCTATAAGGTCTCCTTGGACGAAGCAACCCATGGCTGCCGACAAGGATCCTTCTATCAGGTTGGATCGACTACCTCCTCTGACTAAGTAGACCATGGACCACGATGGTCCGAGATGACGGAACCATGGGATCTTGATCAAGTCCATCATCCATTCCCCCACCATCCACTTTAAGTGCAAGGTGGTGAAATTTTCATTTTTAAATATGAAACTTTTCAAATTTCCAAATCCAACCCCAGCTTTTCAAATATCAAATGCCCAATGCTGCAACTATATGCCAGATTCACGTATATTCTACGTATCTGATTGACGACTAGCCTTAATCGAAAGTTCTCTCTCGTCATCGGGAGGGGTAATTAACTATAGGGGCTTGCGCCTACAGGAAACCAGAACTCAGATCATAAAGTCCTCGCAAAATGAGGGCGAAATCTCTGGGTAGTGTCTTATCTACAAACCCATCTGCCTTCCAAAATTTACCCCGGAACGTAATCCTTTAAAACTCCCTCGTCGAAAAAAAAATAGCAAAAGTGGGCGGAGTCTGGGGCCGAATTTTCGGAGCCCTCATGCATGTCATTAATTTTTGTTGTGTGCATTTGGTCAACTCGATGGAAACCAACTGTGATCAGCTTAGCGATTAGTAATTCTCGTTGTAATCCCGTCCTAGCCCAGAGATGAAAAAACTAACAAGGGAATATTTTGAAAGTCCTGAAACTGCAGATGCCAACTCTTCAAATGCTACTTCATATTCCAAAACTGATCCCATTTGAGATAAATATGACGGATTCTGATGTAAATATTCAATTTGCAAGACGTCAAAATAGGCTCGCAATGTTTGAAGAAATGCTCACCATGTTAAATGTCGTCCTTCAATTTTGGACCATTGATGACACATTACGCCTGACTCTTACAATGAAAAAGAGGCAATGTAAATTAGCTTATGTCTAATGTTATTATAAAAATCTAAGTATTTATCAGCTTTAAACACTCATGTTTTAAATTCTCTCAACTAAAATGACAAAGATAGATCTTCATTATTCGCATTGAGGAAATAAATTGTGTTGTTCTTCCCCATGGTATTATTATGTCAAATTGGAGTTACCACATGTTCACCATTGCTTCTTGTAAGATGGATTATACTGATATAATATGTGATAAATCATCAATTCATTTATTGATTGGCATAAAAAATGATTGAAATTGTTGTAATATTTTGTTGATTGATAAGAATTGCTCTTCTGGATTGGTAAATAGAATTCTAGACTTCAATGATCAGTAATTCATTTTGTGACTGCATCAATCTCATAACATCGGCCAAATCAGTGTTCTTTATTGATAGGGAGCACAAGTTGATATAATCTTATGTGGAGAAAGATTGTTTTCTTGGTATCCTTCGAGTGGATTTAAACTTCAGATAAAGCGAGGAAAATAAATTAGAATTATGGGGAGTATTTTATTACTGCAACGCAATCGTATTTATAGTAGACTCGCGATCGCAGCCTGGGCTGTCCTTATCAAAGATAATTAACCAGCTGTAACTAACAACAAAGAGAGCTAATCACCAAATTACCTTACAAACATTCCTCTCTCTAATTGAAACAATTTGAGCCTACTACTTACAATATATCTCATTACACATTGAAATCCTTTAGCTAGCGTGGAGTGATATTATCTTTGTCAGCCCCCCATTGGCATCTGTTGTCCCTTGGCCTTTATAACTTTATTGCTCTCATCTTCTTCCTCCTCCATGTCCTGCATTTCTGTCTAATCAAGAACAATAGGATGAGTCATAACACCCTTGAACAGATTTGCGTATATCAAACTTTGATATGATTTTTGAAACCAAAACATATTCTAGATAATTCAACCTACCTATTTATTTTTTAATTTTGTATTTTTTTTATCTCATGGTTCATTGCTTTTCCCTATTTTTATTTGTTATTACAGGGATGACGAAGAACCCATACTTCTTGGATGAAGTCTCAAAATTTTTTGGAAAGGATGATGAAATATTGATTGTATGTTTGCTAATCTTGATTATTTTAGTTATTTCTTTGCGATTATTTTAACATTTTGTTGCAGGGTTGCCAAAGCGGGAAGAGGTCTCTCATGGCAGCAGCTGAGCTTTCATTCGCAGTAAATCTTAACTTTTGCGTAACGATCACTGTAGGTGATTAACATAAATAACATCCTACTAAACATGATTTTGGTATCTTTTACAGGGCTTTACAGGCCTGACAGATGTAGCAGGAGGCTATGCATCATGGTTGCAGAATAACCTTCCTACTGAGCAGTAATTTGAAGTTGAGCAATATATGATCTGAATCTATGAGCCAAGAAAGACTAGTTGGATATCAATAATTTGTAAAGAAGCCAAATCTCGTGGAAGTGGATTTAATTCCTATTATAAAATTTCTAAATTATAAAATGAATAAGGATTATAAGAAGTATCTTTTGATATTATTTGTAGACATATAACATGTAAACAACAAAGGCATGCCTAGCGCATGAAGGTCATGCTAATGAATAGTTTGATGATGATTTATGTATGTGATCTTATATTATCCATTGAATCCAAATTTATCTTTGGGCGATATGTGGATCTTATTGATGAGATTGATTGAAAAATGTGTGTGTGTGTGTGTGTGTGTGAGAGAGAGAGAGAGAGAGAATTTCTTCATTTCTTGATGCAAATGTAACAAAGTAGTGAGTTCAAGACAATAAACATTATCCTATGTTGACCTCTAACCGATGGCATATCCCGACGATCTCCTCCATGTTCTCAAAAAAGAAACTGTAGCAATTCACATAATAGAAAAAAAAAATGAATGGAAGGTTTTTCACGCTTACCTATGCTCTACTGGAAATTGGAATATGGCTTTGCTCTTGGTCATTCTCTAATTTCTTTAAAATGAATCACTGTCGGTCGACCGCACCTCCTGATGTGACCTTGACCTCCAAAAATAAACCACCAGCTTTCGTCTCCGACTGCACCTCCTGCTACACCCGATCGACTGCCGCACAAAACCTTCTCCGTCTAGATTTGCCGAAGCCGTTGAAGCTGCATAGAGCTTTCACAAGGCCGCATGGAAGAACCGCCCTTCAACTCCCTTTGCGAATTCAAAGACGAACACTGCCTTCCAGCCCTATACGACTTTCGCTGACATTCAAACCCTAGCTGGCTGCTGCACTTGCCGCCTCTTCACTAACGCCTGACACCTGCAACCCATCGGCACCTCCTCACCGATCGAACCCTCGCTGACGGCTGACTCACACGACTCCGACGTGTATCGTAGCCGAATCTGTCTGCCCTTTCTTCCTCTATGTATGTGTGTATATATATATATATAATGAATTTAAAAAAAGAAAAAAATGAGGGGATTTATAAATAGGTACCACAATAAAAGAAGACTTGAAGGAAGTCCCGTAATTGATACAGTCCCCTGAATTTTTTGGCCGTCGATCTGATCCGACCAAGTGGAAAGAAGATTGGAAGATCAATTTCGGGGTCGATTCGCTCTCCCAAGGTCCTTGCTCGATTTAATCCGGCTAAGTTAATTGAAAGGGAAAGTTCCCTCCCTAACCTCCCCATGCAGGAAGGGGGAGCCGGAAGGCTACCAAAATTTCGAGAAATGCAAAGTACCGTAATGACCAAATTAGAAGGCTTGAAGGAAGTCTTGGGGTTGATACGGTCCCCCGAAACCCTTGGTCGCTGATCTGATCTAGCCAAGTGGATAAAAGATTCGAAGACTGATTCGGGGGTCGATTCGCTCCCCCAAAGTCCTCATTATCAATTTGACCCAATTGAGTCGATCTAAAAGGGCAAGTGATCTCCCTAACCTCCCCTCCTGGGAAAGGGATGTTGGGAGGTTGCCGAAATTAAAACCGACAAAGGACTCGTGCGCAATGAATTTTAAACAAAATTTGTCACTTTAAATGATAAAAAAAATAATAATAAGATCAAATAATTTCATAATTTAATATACAAGAAAATGATTTTGTTCTTCATTAGTGCAAGAAGAAAAGATGCATCTAATGAATTGAAAATAGCACTCGTCATCTTTGTAGTATACTTTTGTGAAACGACATATCATGATCAAATTAAAGATACATGCTTTTTTTTTTGGAAATAATCAGATAGCCTTGATCAAGACATTATGTCATAAGGGTGATTGGTCGTGAAACAATACTTATGTTTGAAATATAGTAACATAAAATCGTTAGTACTTGCATTAATACGCCCTTATGATAGATAATGCTAATAAAAAAAAATCCATTTCTATAAATAGCCCATGCAACTTATCAAGAGTGTCACAAAATGGCTTACAAAGGATATGATTTTTGCAAAGGGACAACTGAGGTAATATAAATAGGATAAGCATCCTAAAATGTCGGCCAAAGCCTCAGGTACTTTGGGTGGACCAAATAATGTTCTCTAATAATGATTTCACTGAAGAAATATAAGAAGCATTTTTATGAAAGTAGTATATGAATATTTTCTTATTACCCCAAATCAGCGGTCACATCTTTCCATAATACATAGCAATTTTCATTTAGATCTTAATAAAGATAGCACGAAGAATGCTTAAAATTATGGTGTAGTGCCTTCAACTTACTTTTCAGTCAACAATGGAATACAAAATTTTAGTGATATATGCATTATCAGTGTTTTTTTCATGACGCCATTCTTCATTTAGAAATTGTTGGAATTGTCACCTTAATCCTCTTCTTAAAGCAATTTTGTGTTTGATTGTTAACATCTCCAATTGAAATTAAGCATCAAAAGAACTAACGTCGTGTTAAGAAGAAGGTGGGCTTTGTCCATCTCTCATAATACGAAGGAAGTAATGAATGTTGTAATGTGAAGGAGAAGAAAAACTTAAAATGAAAGTTTATTGGATATAACCTTAAACTGATTAATATGTGAAGCAAATATATTTTTATGGACTTAGCTCGCAAGGGAAGGCAACAATGGGACTAATAGTGTGAGAAGTCTTAATCACATGCATACTTTTCCTTGTTTTAGATTTACTTCTATGAGCCAAATGACTAATTCTCCAAAACACAAATTTACATTTAACTATATGATATATGCGTATATAGATGGTCGAAGAATAAGTGAAATAGAAATGTAGTAAATTGAGCTTCTACATATGGGCATTGACTTTGATCTGACTACATTCAATATTCTAATTAATTCATATGAATTGTCAAATATCTTCCCATAAAACCATTATAATTTATATCCAATGATACAATTGTCACTAACGAAAATCTTGAAATGAATATTATACAAGAACAGTGCTATTTATATAAGAATAACAAGCAAATCTAAAAATATATCGAGTAAATGTAATAATAATACAAAACATTAGTGTAATTGAAATGCAAATTACACTAAAATAAAACCTGCATATGCTTCGACAAATGCGATAAATTTGCAAATGCCAATGTTTGAGAATGTTGTGCAGGTCAAATATTCAAATTTCATCCTCTTCCATGAAAGGACTGGAGTAGACCTGACTTGAATCATAGAATGCCTTTCAAATTCCTATAAAAATAAAAGTGATTTTAATATCAACCCGATGATGGTCATGTTGACTAAAAATTTCAAATGGAGGGGTCAAGTCTTAAAACTAAGAAAAATATGAATTCTTAAAATAAAATTCATCACTTAAAACTAAAACCCATCCACCTCCCATAACTATTTATCGGGGGTGATAAATTTAAAATTAACCTTAGCTCACAAAGAGTGAATGTCGTGTCGGGTGTATCACTAAGATTCATCCTCAAATAGTCTCTTACCAGTAGAAACATAGTACGTGCCCTCTGATCGGGTGGTGTTTCTTTAAAATGGAATAACTATATTATGATAATGGCTAAAGCTTGTATCTTCCCTAATAGTATTAAAACCTTGAGTAATGAATGATAGGATGTAATTGATAGGCATAAAGCCCTATATTAGCTAAGGTGGATTTAGATCTAGCCCCTAAGAAAAACACCACCCCAAGCCTATATGGTATTCTTGGAGGAACCAACCCATGACTGCCAATAAGGTGCTTTCTGTTAGGTTGGATTGACTACCTCCTATAGCTAAGTAGACCAAGGACCATATCAGCCCGGGATAATAGAACCATAGGATCTTGATCAGGCTCATCTTCATTCCCCCATCACCAGTTTTAAGATTATGGTGATAAACTTTAAAGTCTCAAACTCCAAATTTCATATCACAATCAAACCATAAAATTGTTACTATTATATGATGGATTTTTGACCGAAGTGACCTCTTTAATGACTAGTCAAGGGGAAATTAACTATAGGGGCTTGTGCCTTTAGGAAACCTAAACTCTGATTTATAAAGTCCTCACAAAATGAGGGTGAAATCTCTAGGTAATCTTTAATTCAAAACCAAATATTCCTTCTGAATATTTACCCGGAACCTAAGCTCATTAAAACTCTCCGCCATCATATTTAAAAAAGGAGACGACATTGAGAGGGAGGGGCGCTAGAACTTTGGAGTCCACAGATTTCTAGTGACTCCTCTAGGGATTGATTTCTTTTTCCATCTTCAGTTAGTTATACATAAACGATAATAACAACAAAATTATTAAAATCATAGTAAATTCATCAAAGTTAGGGTTTAAAAATACATAATAAAATATAACTTGATATATATATTATTTTATTCACTCTAGTCTCTACACTATGAAAGTGTGGGGTGATGTATCAACTTCCAATTATTAACCCTTTCCTTTCATATGTGTAGAATAAAACTATAGAATACTCCTTTTACCATCCAAGTGAAACACGATGCTAGCATTTAGCTAGCCAATGCTATTATTAATACTAGAAATTCTGAAGCCACCATCCGATTTGGTAGCTTAGAGTTTTTTGCAGCTATTTTAATGGCTATTATTATACTTATTCATGACATAATTGTTCAAGGCCATAATGTGAGGCCTAATTCTCCTGAATTTTATGCATGATGTGCTTATTTTGTGTAATACCCATGAGCTATTAGAACTAGTACTACTAAAGAAGTTAAACAAAAATAGGACCCAATCCTCCAAAGGCTCTCACATCCTAAATATTTAACTATGAAGAAGACTGATGTCAAGTAGAAGACTTTGTCAATTTATCAAGCATCATCACATTATTGATTGAGATTTTTCTACCAATAAGGTATGATCATGAAGCTTCCTCATCTGGAGGAAGATTATCCGGAAGGGAGAGATAAAAAATAAATGTTGAATTATGATCCCAACACTAACTAATAATGCATTCATCAACACTCCCACCATTTGATCCATAGACTAACTTCCCCACCCATAATAAGTTTACAAATCTAAAATGGGTTGTTGCAAACTTGATCCTAGTAATGTGATTTTGATGATAATAAATATTATTGTGTTTGTTGATGCTTTCTCTTAATTCTATGATATTTTATTTTGTTTTGTATGTACTAACATTTCAGAAAATCAGTCCACCGTTCACTTGCAATTTTGATCATCTCAAGACTAGGTAGACTAGGGTTACAATATATACTTTTCAATTTAATTTGTATTTTTCCTTCTTAGGTTGTATCATATAATTGGGTGGATATCATTATTGAGTAACCTTGCACAAACACAGGGGGAGAGATTTTTTTTTTAAGTAATTCGTACTGTATGATTTTGGATTCATGATGAATGATTTTGTTTTATATTGTACAACTTTAATTTGTATTATACGATCTATTATGCCTTGTTTAAAACCTAGCTACTAGAGGTTAAGAAAGATACTTATTATGTGTTGATCGGACAGTATGATTTGGTTCATATTGTACGCCCTAATTAAAATCTTTCGAATTTAACTCCTCGATATCATGCAATCAAATCATAGACAATTATTATCACCATTCATACTATACAAAATAGTTCGTACAATATGATTGATAGTGTACAAAATTGGTCATCCTAGAAATTGTACCAAATGAAATCCAAAATTTTTATACTGATCATACTTTATGATTTCCACAGTGCTGGATGATTGACAGTGTACAAAGTTAGTCATCCCAAGAGTTGTCCCAAATAAATAAAAGAAATTTCTATAGCTTGTACCAGCATATCTTTTGATTGTACTGTACAAAGTGTTATAAAGGTTGAATTATTCATCTGCATGAATTTTCTAGATGAGTCTAAATTGCACTGATTGTATGGTACAATACATTTATCGTACTTTACAAATAAAAGATGGAACTCTTAAAAATTAGGGTTTCTTGAAGCCCACTACTGAAGGTTTTTTAATACTTCCATTAAAAATCTTTGGCTGTTTAGAATTTAAGAGT